ATGAAAGGATGGAGGAGTTGGAACCTGAGCGGAAATAGGCTCGCACTGAGGAGGTGACTGCTGGAGAAAGCCACTCCGAGGGGAAAGATGACCACGCAGCCTATGTACCTTATGTGCCGTTACGACAATGGCAGCAACTACGGCTTCAGAAGCTTCTGCAATGAAGACGCAAGGGAGCTGCAGAAGAGGAGCAGCCCGACAGTGGCAGTGAGCCCCGAGGAGATGAGGACAACATCCCATTGGGCCCTCAGTCCAACGTCAGCCTCTTGGATCAGCACCAACACCTCCAAGAGAAGGCTGAAGCCTGCAAGGAGTCAGCCAAGGAGAAACAGCTAAAAGAAGAAGAGAAAATCCTTGAGAGTGTGGCTGAGGGCTGAGCTTTGATGTCAGTGAAGGAGATGGCTAAAGCCATCACTTACAATGACCCAATCAAAACCAGTTGGACACCGCCCCGTTATGTCCTGAATATGTCTGAAGAGCAACATGAGCGTGTACGGAAGAAATACCACATCTTGGTGGAGGGAGATGGTATCCCACCACCTATCAAAAGCATCAAGGAAATGAAGTTTCCTGCAGCCATCTTGAGGGGCCTGAAGAAGAAAGGCATCCACCACCCAACGCCCATTCAGATCCAAGGCATCCCAACCATTCTATCTGGCTGTGACATGATTGTCATTGCCTTCATGGGTTCAGACAAGATGCTGGTGTTCACACTGCCTGTCATCATGTTCTGCCTAGAGCAGAAGAAAAAGTTACCTTTCTCCAAGCATGAAGGGCCCTACGGACTCATCATTTGCCCCTTGTGGGAGCTAGCCCACCAGACCCATGGCATCCTGGAGTACTACTGCCACCTGCTGCAGGAAGATAGCTCACTGCTCTTGTGTTGCACTCTCTGCACTGGGGGCATGTCTATCAAAGAGCAGATGGAGACCATTCGACATGGTGTACACATGATGGTGGCCACCCCTGGCCGCCTCACGGATCTGCTACAAAAGAAGATGGTCAGCCTAAATATCCGTCGCTACCTGGCCCTTGATGAGGCTGACCACATGATTGACTTGGGCTTTGAGGGAGATATCTGCACCATTTTCTCCTACTTCAAGGGCCAGCAGCAGACCCTACTCTTCAGTGCCACCATGCCCAAGAAGATTCAGAACTTTGCTAAGAGTGCCCTTGTAAACCTGTCACCATCAATGTGGGTCATGCTGGGGCGGCCAGCCTGGATGTTATACAGGAGGTAGAATATGTGAAGGAGGAGGCTAAGATGGTGTACCTGCTCGAGTGCCTGCAAAAGACACCTCCATCTGTGCTCATCTTTGCAGAGAGGAAGGCAGACGTGGATGCCAGCCATGAGTACCTGCTGCTCAAGGGGGTTAAGGCTGTGGCCATCCATGGAAGCAAAGATCAGGAGGAAAGAACCAAGGCCATTGAGACATTCCGGGAAAGCAAGAAACATGTCTTAGTGGCCACAGACGTAGCCTGTAAGGGCCTGGTCTTCCCTGCCATCCAGCATGTGATCAATTATGACATATCCGAGGAGATTGAGAACTATGTGCATGGCCGCACTGGGCACTCAGGAAACACAGGCATC